CGTAGAAAAAAAAGAATTGCAATTTTGATAGAAACTTCAATTTTGGTGTAATCTAGAAATAAATGATTTTTTAAATCAACTTCGTTTTAAATTAAGCTCATATCATTTGAAATAATGGACACATTCAAATTAGAAAATCATAGACCAGCTATTGTTTTTCGGTAAAAAGGTCGTTTATCAAAATTTCGTATAACCAGGAAAAATTCGAGCCGTATAACCTGGTTTTCGATTATGATCTGACCAAAGGTTTGGTTAGATCGACCAGCTGTTCTCGACGTTTTTTTTTTGAAGCTGCTTTCGAAAATCAACATGCAACAATTCATAATATATTCAACGACAAATCCGGTTGAGTCTCTGCTTTCCTCGTCGAAAGCTCGAGTATAACTGCATCAAATAAATTCATTCCATTTTGTCATTTATTCGTCGTCTACGGTTGATACTTGTACTAACTGTAATTGAAATAGAGATTGTAGAATGCGCACAGCCAAAACCGTAGGGTCAATGATGTCTGTTTCTCAGAAAGACACTTCGATGACGTCAACTGTCGTTCTCGAACTGCGGGTTTGGCTTTTCTGAAGATACTCACTAAGCTTTATGCCAACCTTACAAGAAAAGCTGCGGGTTTCAATTTTTTGCTTATGGCGCTGCACCGCACCTTGAATCGATCGGGTCCAGCAGCAATGACAAGCTAATGGTTGATGGCTATCAATAGTTTTTTCTCTTGGCGAGTAACTTCTATATAATTTTTGGCAGGACAATAGCAGCAGTTTTGTTGGAGCTAACAGGAATAGTTTTATAAGAAATTTAAAATGTTAATACAAACTTTTTCGAACATTTTGTGCATCATCAGGATTAAAAATTTTATTATAAAATAATTACAAAACGATCAAAGATCTTAAAATTGAAAAACATGTCTAAAAATGCTGTAAAATTTTTCGACCAATCAAATTTAAACAACTGTAATTTCATAATAAATTACGTAATCATTAATAACATTTTCCGGTAAGTTTCTTTTTTTTTCTTTTTTTTTCGTTCATGGTTATTAAGTTTCGACTTTTGAATGTTTTTGATTCTGACAAGTCAGTTTTTTATTTTTCAGCCATGTTATACGTAAACTACAATTTAAGTGATAATTTTCTAAAATAATTAGCTCCTGAATTCATCGCGTGTGTTGATCCTCGGCTTATCCCTCCAATTATGCAAAGCCTCTAGCGTGAGTAGCTTATGAGTGTTAGCTGCTTGATCTATGATCTCTGACTTCAAGTCAGCAAAACCGCCTACCTCCTTAATACAATCTAACAAGTGTTGCCCTACTGGGGTGTCTTCTTTAGGGTTTTCATCGACCCTCGTGGCTAAATGTCGGTCTGTCTAGACGACATAGGTGGAGTTACATCCACTACATCTAATCTTTAACTCAGTTCACGAGCAAAAGAAGTTTTGAGGGATGGCAAGCATATTTTCAGTTTTCAGAATGAATGGCAAGAATACTTTTCTTTGCATTGCCGATTGAAATCCTGAAGCTTTCTTGTCGCTCATACTCAAAGATTACAGGATGATGTATAATCCATCTAGAGCACCTCGTTAAGGTGAGCATCACAGCGAATGATGCGCTGTTGTCGGTCATGTTCTAAGCAGTCTTAGATCTAAGAAAATTGACTGACAATAATTTGAATTTCACCATGTGTTAATTTCAAAGTTTTTCTTTCCGTTATTAAGTTGAAGCTGCAATTTTCTCACTGAAAATGCTATGTAGATGGTCGTTTTTGATTGCAAATGCACTTTGGCAGCAATTTAAAAATGTTGGCTGCAATTTTTGGTAATCATTTCGGTTTTAAAAACGGTGCAACTACTTTTACGAATTGCCGTCTTATCAATTTACTGATTGGTTGAGAATAATTCTAAGCTGCAGTGATTTTGCTCCGATGATGCCTTATATAGGTCATAATATCACACCCTGTGATTGCCCAAATATAATTTTTCAGATTTTTTTCCGACTGTCTCTTTTTTTTTCATTCATTTCTTATAGTGATGTAACCTTTTTTGCTAATTGCCGTCTACCTATTCACTTATTGGTTGAGTGTAATTCTAACCCGCACTAATTTTGTTCCAATTATGCCTTATATAGGTAATAATATCACACCCTGTGATTGCTTCGGAGTCATAGTTCAGGGGGCCACGACCTGTGGGTTGTCTTCTCACTTCAGGTTGAGTACTTCCTAGATTTTTTCGGAAACGATCGCGCCCTTAAGGTTTTTTACATGCTTCAATACGTCGTTGTTCCTTTTCCAACTGTATGTTGGCTATGTTTAATCATAAGGGTCGTTAGGGTTCAAGGAAGCTTATATGTCATAATTGATTTGTTAGTGGGAGCAAAATTATCTTTTTTCACTTTATATGACGTGTGGGGGATGTTAAAAATTTTATTTCGTTGCATTTAAATTTTTCATGTTATTTGCGCTTCATAAAATTTAAAAGGCACTCGGAACATTCAGGGCTTCGACGAGAAGTCTTGTCCTCTCGTGTTCGATGTTTCATTTCAATCGATACTCATTTCGGTTAGTTTTTTTCGAGCAGAAATGGTGGAGCTCTTTCTCCTTTTTGTTTGGCCATTTATTTCAAGCAATCCGAGCACCACCTAATTTATTGCACGTTCTTTTGACATCCTGAAGACACACAGCCATATATTTTTAGCTCATTTTTGTTTTTCATCGGATAGATTTTACACTCAAGGTGTATAGGTGCCTGCTGATTTAAATAACACTTAATTTGTTTTCAGGTCTGGTTTGATAGATTGAACTGCTATAATCATTCGGTTCCCAACAATTCTCGCCTATCCAACTCATTTCTTTATTTCAATTCATAATTACACAGTACTTCTTTTTCAACCAAATTATAGCCTTGATCAATGTCTCAAATAAATGAGTCTAAAAATATGTTAAAGTTTTTGCCCCCCAAAGTTTCCCAATTGCATTCTGACTCCATTACTATTATTGAGCCCGTAGTCAATTTCAAAATACCTAAGAAGTCTGATAATCAACTACCAACAGGAAAGCAACCTTCATGGGTGAGTTTTGCGGAGTAATTTGCTCCGATGATGCTTTTTATAGATAATAATATCCCACCCTGTGATTGCTTCTGAGTCATAGTTCAGGGGGCCACAACCTGTGGGTTGACCTTTCCCTGCAGGTTGACTACTTCCTAGTTTTTCTCAGAATCAATCGCGCCGCTAAGGTTTTCTTACATTGCTTTATGATACTTCATTGTTTCTTTAATATCTTTTTTTTTTTCATTTCTAGTATCTTTTTTGCCAGTTATAAAATATTGTATTACCAGACCAATCGAAAAATGCGAAAACAAATCAACAAAGGGAAACAATCTCAAATCAGCTAATTGAATCTTCACTTTTGGGAAGAAACCTTATTTCTTTGCTGGTTTCTTGGCCGCTTTCTTTGCCGGAGACTTCTTGGCTACTTTTGGCTTAGCTGGACTCTTCTTTGCTTTCTTGGGCGAGGCCGCTTTCTTTTCTGCGGGTTTGGCTACTGCTGGTGCGGCTGCCGCCGCCGCTGCCTTCTTGGCTGGAGACTTCTTTTTTGGGCTAGTCTTCTTGGCGGGTTTCGTTGCCGCTGACTCTTTCGCAGGAAGCTTAAAGCTCTTTCGCAGGAGGTTTTTTTCAGAAGTTGAATAACTCTCAATACCAATCAATGAGTGGGGATTCAAGTCGGTAATAGAAGCGCAGATGGCTTGTACTTAAGGAGCGAAATCTATCCTTTTGTACTTAATATGGCGTGTGGGGGGTTGATTTTCATTAGAAAAAAAAATTTTCATTTTGTTTTATTTCGCGCTA